AACTTTTATTCTAAATCGTCTGTTCGTCTTAGGTTTCAACTAAAATTTTGGGTCAGTGATCATTACTTTTGGAGCTAGAGCCATCTGAAAATAAAATATGCATTCAAAAAACGAAAAGAAAGCTACGAGTACCTCCGTACGAATCTTGCCTAGACCACACAAATTATTTCTGTTTAAATTGTCTTTTTGAAATCAGTTGGTACAATCAACAGCTCGCTTTTTCGACAAATTTGTGTTATCTAACCCACCTGGGCACAAAAATAAAACATTTTTTGTGAATCTGAAGTTACGGAAAAAAATCTTTTCAAAAATCACTTTTTAAGAATATTTTTACTATAGAAATGATGTTTACGCCTGCATTTCTGTAGACACTTAGGGGGGCGTCGGTGATTAATTCCCTAATTGGTCAGTTGTTGTTAATTAGTTGATAAGGCTCTTTAACTTGGACACAGTATATTCACGCAAATATTCACGCAAATGGATATATTTCAAACCTATAAAAAAGACATACAGATAAAGTAAACAATTGTTGATGTATAAAATGGTTTTGAATGTTTAATTAGATAACTTACTATTTTGTCGTTTCAGGATATTAATGAGTGATTAGTGTTCTGCAATTTTGGAGAATTGCTATTAAATCCCGACTATTCAATGACAAGGTTTGAGTAACATAACTCTTTATTGATTAGTATATATATATATATAAATATATATATGTATCTTCCTCCCTCCCCCCTCCTTCCCTCCCTTCTTTACAGAGATTTAGTTTGAAACTATTATATCGGAACATAGATTGGTTAAAAGTAAGCGTATTCCCCTGCTTTTCACTAAACCGGAATTGGGGAGGGGGAGGGGGAATGTCAGGGGAGGGGGAAGGGGGAGTTTGACAAAAACTTGTGTAACTAACATTAAACAGTGGTCAATCAGGAAGTTTAGGATTATTATTATACATTGATTAAATCTATTCCAGCGTCAGAGATATGATTCACACAAGTCCAGCAATGCATTCTCACAAACTCATTTATAAGTTTTTAGCCCTAGAAATGTTTATTTTAGAACCATAAAGTACTTATTTTTACTTTAGTTTTTAAGAAGTAATTGGCCAAATTCTCATAGATTTTTACGTGAGAGCTTGCAACCATTTGATCATTGTGGATTGGTGATAATCCAGAATCTAATAAAAGATATAACTAAGTTTGAATTTCAAAAAGTCGTCTTTATTTCAATATAAAGATGGCATGTAAAAAATTGTACAATACGATTCTTATTTATTTATCATGCAAAGAATTATTTTAATGAGAAAACATTATTCTAGGAGAAAAAAATATATAAATTTTAAAGCAAAATAAAGGGAAAAACACAAAAAAAGCGACAATTTAAACGTTTTTATGTTTCTGGCCTAAAACTTGAACTTTCATTGGAGGGGGGGGGGGGTCTTAATAACATGACAACTTTTTATATCTATATTATTATATTAGGGTCAATGGTTGCCAGAATTTAAACTGTCTTCTAAAATAAAAATTTGAAAAATACAGGAACATTATTTTTGTTATTGTTACAGAAAACAACATCTGAAACTTGTGGAACTAAGATACAACATTTCTTTTAGCAAATTGAAACCATTATTTTGGATTCAGGATTTCAGAATTTCAGAAGTTTAGTTTTACAATTCAAATTAATTTTGTCGGAGTGAAAACTAAACTTCCTCATTTTAGAATTTGTTTCAACATTTTTCTTAATTTTCAAATTTTACTTAAAATAAAATCAAAGCAAAGGGTGGTAGGGGTGAGGGTGTGGAAAGGAGGGGGATGAATAGATGTGGGGGGAGAGGGGGGGATGTCTCTGTTCTCAAAACCTCAAACATTCTCCGCTATGTATGCTTAAACCTAATTTTGACCAAAAATTTGAAATTTCCGGGAGACTCCCCCTTCCCTCCCCCCTCTCTGCCCTCCCCTCCCCTCCTTTCCCTAGACTACTAGGTTCCCACAGATATAAATAATCTGGGGGCGGGGGGGTCAAATTTGCCAGAAATATGTCCTTCATATTTATAAAAGTTTCCGGGATTTGATTATTTTCAAATATTTGAGAAATTGTCCAATTTATACAAATTCCTTCATCATCAGAGGGCCAGATAGGAGAACTGTAAAGCTTGGGAAAACTAGGGAATCATCAGAGGGCCAGATAGGAGAACTGTAAAGCTTGGGAAAACTAGGGAATCATCAGAGGGCCAGATAGGAGAACTGTAAAGCTTGGGAAAACTAGGGAATCATCAGAGGGCCAGATAGGAGAACTGTAAAGCTTGGGAAAACTAGGGAATCATCAGAGGGCCAGATAGGAGAACTGTATAGCTTGGGAAAACTAGGGAATCATCAGAGGGCCAGATAGGAGAACTGTAAAGCTTGGTAAAACTAGGGAATGGGAATGGGGAAATTAGGCAAATAAAGAAGAAAAGAAGTTCAGTCCATTTTGTTTGAACTTTAATACTTTTTTAGTAATTAAATGCTTCAAAATTGGTGTAAAATGACAACTATAGTGAAGTTGCGAGGTTGCAAAAATATCCTAGTAATTTTTCTATAAAAGTTTAAGAATAACTGAGAAGATTATTATGTTATATAGGTAAATAGAATATGACATTAATTGACAAATGCATGAATAGATGAATTTGAGAGAATTTATACATAAATAGATGAATGAATGATGAACATATAGATGAATAGGTGAATAAATGATGAATAGGTGAAAGGATGATAGGATGAAAAGATGAATGAATGATGAATAGGTGAATGAATGATGAATATGTGAAGGAATGATGAATGATGAATATAAATATAAATGATTGATGAATATAAGGATGAATGAAGGATTTAGAAAGATAAATGTAGGATGAATGATAATATATAAAGATGAATGAGGGATGAATGACAAATATATATAAAGATGAATGAAGGATGAATAATGAATATAAAGATATAAAGATGAGTAGGCGAATGAATGATAAATGATGAATATAAAGATGAATGAAGGATGAATTATGAATATATAAAGATGAATAGATAAATAATGAATATAAAGATGTATGAAGAATGAATGATGAATATAAAGATGTATGAAGAATGAATGATGAATTTAAAGATGTATAAAGAATAAATGATGGATATATAAAGATTAATAGATTGATGAAGGATGAATATTTAGATGAATAAATAAATGAATGATGAATAATTGAATCCACTCTATGCTAATATACCACAATATCAAATATCAAAAAGAGAAATATTTGATTTGGATTTGTCAGCTTTATCTTACACACTAGCTCTCTCTTTCTCTATCTCCCTCTCCCTCCCACCCCCCCCCCACACAAATTTACAAAAATGTGAGCACATATAATTCCAAGAATATTGATTTTTTTTAGAAGATAAAACAATATTATGCATTTAAAGTATAGAGTTAATCGAATATAAAAATTAAAATTTATATAAATACAATGAGAGTAATATAAAGTTAATATAAAAGAATACTATATACTGATATTATAGACTAAACTAAACTAACTGAATATATAGACTTTCCTCCACCGAAAATACGATTTATGGCATCTTTCCATAATGTATCCGGTCCAAACCATCCTAACCCTATCTTAAATCATACCAGGAGAAGAACAATAAAACCCGTCCTAGCTCTGCGTCCACTACCCGAGAAAATATGAGAATATCCAACCCTGGTTAGGATAATAAACTAGAATATGGAACTCATCCAAATTTAGAAAATAAATCTCGCCACAGAAAGACAATAAGTCATTTCCTTTATTCCTGGATTATATCCGGAACTATAATTGATTCCCTCATTATATTCCTCCCTCCATGGATGAACCAGAGAGATGGTATTAGTGACCATTTGGCAAACCAGTTCACCATTCATCCTAATCAGTCAAGGAACTAACCATGTCGCCAATATGTACTCTACGGAGGAATATATTGGTTCTACGTGGTAATTTAAACTTCACGGAACCTTTTCTTAATATCCTCCGCGCGGTATCACGGAACCTCGATTCCGAAGCGTTTTTGTTGGTAAATTGGGCCAGATTTGAGAATGCAATATGACAGGCAGTGTGACAAGCCATAATACTCATCTAGTTACATGTCACATTGTCGTGAAGACACGTGGCAGGTCGTGGCGTGTATTTAGCCAACCGGGAGGGTCGGAATTATGATGATCTACTCTTATATCTATATTATCTTTTTAATCCTTTCTCTTTCACTTATTTTTAATTTCATCAATATGTTTTGAACAAATATTAAAGTGACTGTACGCTTGACTTCAAGTGGCCCTTCATGCAAAGATGACAATGCCCGATTCACAATAGTACCATTGAAACCATTACCTGATCAATATTGTGTAAGATATCGATATTGAAGGTTTTAATTTTTTTTCTTATTCTGATGATTCATAGAGTTAAGTTTTCCTGCGGATTGAAAATATAGAGATGACAAAATTATAATCAATGCATTGAAATCTATTTTATACTTGATCAGACAAAGCATTTTAGGACTCCGTTAATCGGGCACTGTCATCTTTGCATGGAAGGTCACTTGAAATTACGCTGAGAGTCCTTTTAATTTACCAAATGTAAAAACTTTTTTCTATTGGATCGATATGAGAAACTATAAGGAAAACTAAAAAAAATGAGTTTTGTTTTCTTCTGAAAAATGTATTTTTCCGAAAAAGGTTGAAATTCCTTGCTTTAACTTATTTTGAAAAAAAAACATATTTTCTAAAATAAGTTTCTAAGTTCCTGTTCCTTCCTTGAAGAGGTTTAAATGGAAACCGGATTGGTTTGAACCCCCCTGTACAGGATGGGTTGGATCGGCCTAGAGTTAACTCCGGTTTGACTCCTCTGCCTCCCCGGGAAGAAGATGAGCTCTAGGTGCGTGTGAGCGCGGCTCCGGAGCGCGCAGGATGGAACCGTATGGAGGAGCTCTGACCCGGGGGGAACGGTCAGTGGTGCCGCACACCGTAGTTCAGTGTTGTAGCGCAGACACAACACACAGGTTCTTTCTGCTCCATATACACCTATACAAACTTACATACATACATACGCACAACCGTGATTCAAGTTCATCACGTGATTTGTCTGAGTGAGAAAACAATATAAACATCTCCAAGTGTTAAACAAGTACTTTATTGAATATTCTATATTGTACAGGCATGGCGCTTGTTGCGCCCCAACCCCATATATCTGCATCAGTTTGGAGAGATTCATCAATGATCTCTTCTTCTCCGATCTCGTCCACAACAGGACAGCTCATGTCCAGTGGAACCTTTTCTCCACCCCACTCTAAAACTGAGTACATTACTCACACCAAGTCTGAGTATCTGACCCATACCAAGTCTGAGTACGGAGATATAAAATCCTTGTCCCAAAGTAATTCAGGACTTATTTCTCCGACAACAACATGTATTCCGTCTTCAAACATGTCCCAGTCCTCGGACGGAGATTCATCGAACCTGAAGGACGGAGAACTCGGAGAAGGAGATCTAATATGTGTTGTTTGCGGAGATAAATCCAGTGGAAAACATTACGGGCAGGTCACCTGCGAGGGTTGTAAAAGTTTTTTCAAGAGATCTGTGAGACGGAACCTATCCTACCAGTGTAGAGGAAACAAGAACTGTCCAATAGATCAACATCATAGGAACCAGTGTCAGCACTGTAGGCTCAAGAAATGTTTTAAGACCGGGATGAGGAAGGAAGCAGTGCAGCCAGGACGTATTCCTCCACATCAAAGTTTGATGGGATTCCCTGGTTTTGGTTCTCCTGATCTAGGAGCTCCATCAGGATACCTCTCCTCGTATATATCCATGCTGCTCCGGGCTGAACCTTACACTACTAGATACGGTCAACTCCAGATGCAGAATAATATGACAGGAATAGATAATATTTGCGAGATGGCTGCTAGGCTCATGTTCTCCTCCGTAGAGTGGACTAGAAATATCCCTGGGTTCCCGGAGCTCCAGGTTACAGATCAGGTTGCACTACTCAGATTAGTCTGGTCAGAACTATTTGTACTCAATGCTGCTCAGTGTAACATGCCGCTACATATTGCTCCGCTCCTGGCTGCTGCAGGATTACATGCTGCTCCTATGGCAGCTGACCGAGTTGTAGCTTTTATGGATCATATTAGAATATTTCAAGAACAGGTTGAGAAGCTAAAATCTCTTCATGTAGATGCTGCTGAATATTCTTGTATGAAGGCAATAGTTCTCTTTACTACAGGTTAGTTTTTCATCCTTTTTGTTCACATAGTGATCCCTGTAGGGGGCCTGGATGCTTGTGTGATGCTTTTGTCTGGTTTAGATTGCACACTGTTAGCTCAAACTTTTTGCTCTGTGCTCCGTGCATCTTTCTAATGTTAGAAGCGGTTCGCGTAATTATTTGAAATCAAGGTCTATTATAAACTGAAGAGTTAAAACAATAAGCAGAATGAAGGAGAATAAATTACTCTACTAATTATTTGCATTCTCTTTTATCTATCTCTGCCTTATCTTATTATACATGTGTGGATGAACAATTGACAATGTAAAAATCATGTCCAAATTTTAAATCTTGTACCTTGTTTGGGGGGTTTCTTCCATTTTTTACAGTTTTGATTGCATTTTTTGTTTCAAAATAATTTTAACAGATTTCAGTTTATGTACGTTTTCCCGATTCGTTGTAGTTTTGGTTCATTCTGTAACAACTTAGTTAACATTTCCCTGGTTCATATTTTAGTCAGTCTAAATTTGAGTAGATTCCATTGGTTCAAATAGTTGAACTGGTTTAAAAAGGTGTTAGGTACATTTCCAAAGGCATTTTCCCTGGGTGACTTTCCAAGTATCAATTTACCAAGTGGCAACTTCCCAAATATGAAATTTCCCAAGCGGCTACTTCCCAAATGGGGGCGGGGGTCGAGTGCTGCGGCTAGGATGGGCTTGGGTGCCGAGTGCCTCGGCTTGAAGAGGCTGCGGGCCGAACGCTGCAGGCAGGACACACTTGGTAAGTTGCCGGTTGGGAAGTTGCCGGTTGGGAAAGTACCTAACATCGTTTAAAATCTGGTAGATTTCTCTCAGGTGTTATAATCTTGAATCAAACCACATTAGAATTGTTATAACTGGTCTGAGTTTAAGTAGATTCCTCTGGTTCATTGTTGTTTCAGGTCTAAATTTGAGTAGATTCCCTAAATAATTATCCTAGTAATCAGATTTTAATCTGGTTACAACTCGGTATAAATATGCTCCATAACTCTCTATACAGATGAGGGGGGAGAACTTGAAAGAGGGATGGTGGGAGGGGGGGTCTTCCAATCTATCCATCCATACTCATATATTCAGAAATATTGTGAAAACATGGAATTCTGAACCCTTTTCCAACCCAACCCATAGAAACCAGATATACAATAATTCTCTAGCCATCCTTCTCACACATACTTTAACACACAATACACACTTTAACACACAACACACACTTTAACACACACCACACACACCCCAACACACAGCACACACACTTTAACACACAACACATACTTTAACACACAACACACACTTTAACACACAACACACACTTTAACACACAACACACACTTTAACACACAACACACACTTTAACACACAACACACATTTCAACACACAACACACACTTTAACACACAACACACACTTTAACACACAACACACACTTTAACACACAACACACACTTTAACACACAACACACACTTTAACACAGAACACACACCCCAACACAGAGCACACACACTTTAACAACCAACACACACACTTTAACAAGCAACACATACTTTAACACACAACACATACTTTAACACACAACACACTTTAACACACAACACAATTTAACACACAACACACACTTTAACAAACAACACAGACTTTAACAAACAACACACACTTTAACAAACAACACACACTTTAACACACAATACTTACTTTAACACACAACACATACTTTAACACACAACACAGACTTTAACACACAAAACACTATAACACACAACACAAACTTTAACACACAACAAATACTTTAACAAACAATAATTATTTTAACACACTTTACACACAACACACACTTTACACACAAGACATACTTTAACACACAACACATACTTTAACACACAACACACGCTTCCAAATCACAATACATACACAAATACAGAAGAAATTACAATGGCTGCGTGTTCCAACCCAAACGCTTACACTTTATATTGAGAATGAATGGATTAATCTGGTTGAATAATTAAACTCCGCCCCCCCCCCTCCTCCTATACTCCCCCCTACTCCTAAACCAACCTTAATTTTATATCATATCTCTTTCAGTTCAATGCTTCTCTTAATGGGGAAATAAACTTGAAAATTCAGATTAGAAGAAGATAGAGAGATAGATAGCAAGTTTCAGGAATGAAATTAGGGATAGTGAGAAAGATAGCAAGTCTGAGTGGTGAATTGAGTGGTACATAGAAAGATAGCAAGTCTGAGTGGTAAATTGAGTGGTAGGTAGAAAGATAGCAAGTCTGAGTGGTGAATTGAGTGGTAGGTAGAAAGATAGCAAGTCTGAGTGGTGAATTGAGTGGTAGGTAGGAAGTTAGCAATGAGGGGTGAATTGATTGTTAGGTAGAAAAATAGCAAGTTTAAGTGGTGAATTGAATTTGAGTGGTAGGAAGAACGAAAGCAAGCCTGAGTGGTGAATTGAGTGGTAGGTAGAAAGATAGAAAATGTAAGTGTTGAATTGAGTGTTAAGTAGAAAAATAGCAAACCTAAGTGTTGAATTGAGTGGTAGGTAGAAAAATAGCAAACCAAAGTGTTGAATTGAGTGGTAGGTAGGAAGATAGCAAATGTAAGTGTTGAATTGAGTGTTAAGTAGAAAAATAGCAAACCTAAGTGTTAAATTGAGTGGTAGGTAGGAAGATACCAAATATAAGTGTTGAATTGAGTGTTAGGTAAAAAGATAGTAAATCTAAGTCTTGAGTTAAGTGTTTTAGGTTTTTTATGGTAAATGCAATATATGGACTGTAAGAGAGGTTTGTTTGGTTGTAAACCATTTATGAATATATATAAATGTAAATATAAAATGTATATACTCATGCAATTTTATTTTCAGATGCTATTGGCCTTACTTCACCTCCAGTTATAGAGCAGTTACAGGAGAAATCTCAGTGTGCTCTGGAGGAGTACTGTAGAACCCAGTATCCTAATCAACCCACCAGGTTCGGAAAACTTCTCCTCCGTCTCCCCTCCTTGAGAACTGTATCCGCCTCTGTGATAGAACAACTATTCTTCGTGAGATTAGTTGGGAAAACTCCGATAGAAACCTTGATCAGGGATATGCTCCTCTCAGGGAACACCTTCCAGTGGCCCAGCTCATCTATGGGATGCTACATGTAAACCTAGGATAAACAGTTTACACCCTACACAAGAATATTCCTGCTTGTCCCATCTTCAGATCTCAAGAATAGTTAATTCAGGAGAAGTAGAAGAACTACTCTACTCTTCATATCCATCTTTTCCAACCCATCCTTTTCCTTCTCAATTCCTCCTACTCTGAAGATAAATCCCTGTTCTCAATGTATCCTGTATATGTATAACTGATGTGAGATAACCCCATCTAAGGCTAGAAACCCAACCTATCTGTATGGTTGAGTTAACCTCCCTCCTGGACGGGTATCTAGTATCCGAATGATCTGCTGAACCCTGTATTTATGAATAGAGATGTTCTCCGTCTCTAACCTCTCTCAGCTTGACTCAACCAATGAATAGTGAGGTAGTAAACCTATCAGTAGATCCATAAACATTTTCATACATAGATGTTTCTCTGTCTACTCCTCCAACCACCTGGAGTTATAATCCAACCCGTAGCTCTCAGGGGTCAACATTTACTCCGGGTAGAACTAGAGTACGCTCCGTTCCTCCGTCTTACAACTGTGATAAATATAAAAGTTCTGGGTGAACATTTTTCCTCATTACTCACCCTGTGTATACAGGGTGAAGTAATTTTAGTATTTTATGTGCTGAAAATTCTGTACTTTACAAGGATGTTCTGTTTAAACCTACAGATATAATCTTGTCAAGATCACCCTGTATCTACCTAAAAAAAATATTTTGTTCTAGTGTTTATAATATTTTACTTTTAAGAATATGAAATATATTGTTGCGTGATCTTAACGCTTTTCTTTCAATTTTCTTCAGAAACAAATTTGAAATTGAATTTTGCTGAGGCAGTAAACCGAGTAAACCAGAGACGTGAACAGGTTTCATAATTCTTCTCAGTCTTGTACTTTTTATTATTAGGAGTAGTACATACAGTGAAACCCTTAATAACGAATACATCGGAAGAATTTATCAAATGTCGTCTTAACAATTTTTCAATGAGTTTTATACTATATTACGTAAATTTCAGTATTTGCGAAAATAAATAAATAGCCTTGAATACGCGGGAACAGTTTTAAAGAGTTCCATATAATCATTTAATTAAAAAACTAAATATCTGCAACATTCCATTATCAGAAAGTGAAGAATACGACATTTGATGAATTCTTTCGATGTATTCGTTATTAAGGGTTTCACTGTAGTATTGTACTTTTTAATAATAGGAGTAGTACATAGTATTGTACTTTTTAATATTAGGAGTAGTAAATAGTATTGTACTTTTTAATATTAGGAAGGAGTGGTACATAGTATTGTGCTTTTTATTATTAGGAGTAGTACAAAGTATTTGTACTTTTTAATATTAGGAGTAGTACATAGTATTGTACTTTTTAATATTAGGAGTAGAAAGTAGTATTGTACTTTTTAATATTAGGAGTAGTGCATAGTATTTGTACTTTTTAATATTAGGAGTAGTGCATAGTCTTTGTACTTTTTAATATTAGGAGTAGTACATAGTATTTGTACTTTTTAATACTAGGAGTAGTGCATAGTATTTGTACTTTTTAATATTAGGAGTAGTACATAGTATTTGTACTTTTTAATATTAGAAGTAGTGCATATTATTGTACTTTTTAATCGGTTAAGGGGTTCCTGAGATATGATCAAACATAGAAACAAACAAACAGAGATTACTACTTTATATGTAGATTAGAAGAAGTACATACATAGTATTGTAATATATTCAATATTAGAAGTATTATTGTACAATTTAATATTTCTTAAGAGATTAAAATAAAATTATAATGATTGAATAAAGGAAAAGAGAATGAAGTTTAAAGAATGTAAAAATGTGAAGATGCTCAACATTCTTTCGATTTAATTAATCCAATAATAGGCCCAGTAAACCCAACGGGGGTTCCTACATTAGACGTTTATTAGATAAAAATAATTTTACGTCTGGAAATAATTCAAGTTAACAGTCAAGTGAAGCGTCTAATTTGCGAGCATTTAACCCTTGAGTGCGCGCAGAGATGGTTTCTATATTGTGTTCAATATATCCGTATTGAGTGGGCGCGCGTGACGCTTTCAATGTGACCTGAATGAGGTCAAATCATTAATATGATAAACTGTATCAATAAGATCGGAGAGGTTTATGGTTTAATAATTCCAGGTTCTTACATCAATAATTCTAACCAAGGATACTTGGAATACAGAGTGTAGATTGCATATTCATCTTCTCCTCTTCTCATCTTTGACATTAGACCTTCTACTTTACTCATCTTTAGTATTAGACCTTCTCCTCTACTCATCTTTAATATTAGACCGTCTCCTCTACTCATCTTTAATATTAGACCTTCTCCTCTTCTCATCTTTGATATTAGACCTTCTACTTTACTCATCTTTAACATTAAACCTTCTCCTCTACTCATCTTTAGTATTAGACCTTCTCCTCTTATCATCTTTGATATTAGATCTTCTACTTTACTCATCTTTAACATTAAACCTTCTCCTCTTCTCATCTTTAGTATTAGACCTTCTCCTCTTATCATCTTTAGTATTAAACCTTCTCTTCTACTCATCTTTAACATTAGACCTTCTCCTCTACTCATCTTTAACATTAAACCCTCTCCACTACTCATCTTTAATATTAGACCTTCTCCACCACTCATCTTTAACATGACACCTTCTCATCTACTGATCTGTAATATTAAACCTTTTCCTCTTCTCATCTTTAACATTATACTTTCTCCACTACTCATCTTTAATATTAGACTCATCTTTAACATGAGACCTTCTCATCTACTGATCTGTAATATTAAACCTTTTTCTCTACTCATCTTTAGTATTAAACCTTCTCCTCTACTCATTTTTAACATTAAACATTCTCCTCTACTCATCTTTAGTATTAAACCTTCTCCTCTACTCAGTACTCATTTTTAATATTAGATCTTCTACTCTACTTATCTTTAATATTAGACCTTCTTCTCTACTTATATATATATATATATATATATATATATATGTATATAAATATATATGTAATAAATACAGCAATCACCATATTTGTTAACCTGAACTTACCTATATATATTGCATTGTACAATGTCTGTAAATCTAAATGTGCTTATCATTAACTTTAAAAACTTGCAATGCGATTAACCTAGCCTAGCTACGTCTATAAATACATCAAAAACTGTATTGTGATTAACTTATAACTACGTCAGTGACTGGCTTAACTACGCTTATATATATCTGCGCTAATCTTGTAAATTCGTATATTAAAGTTAATCTGTAACATAGATATCTAAAAACACATTAGTTGGAAGATACTCCACTTTGATTACAGTGTGAGATTAATTACTTCTTGGTTAGCAAACTAGAAGGGTCATGAATAGATTTCTTGAAATATAGAACTAGCTTGGGAATTGATATCTTGTATAGTATCTTGTAAGACAGATACGTGAGATAGACTACGAGCTTGTTTACATGTTGACATTGATAGTTGCCGCGATTTTGCCCAAGGTTGGCATTTGTAGTTTACGAGCTTGTATCCTTATTGACTTTGATAGCTGACGATATTGAGCCCATTGGTTTGGCAGTGATAGTTTAAGAGCTTGTGTCCGGTTGACATTGATAGCTGACGAGATTGTGCCCATTGGTTTGGCATTGATAGTTTAAGAGCTTGACAATAAAGTGGAATCAAGTTGTACTTGGATAGATAAACACTTATGGAGTATGTCGATTACTACATTTTTACATAGTATATGACTTGGCTATTGAGCTCCCCCTGTACCATTTAGAATATTTTCTCCCCCCCCTCTCCTTCTCCCCCTTCATTCCAGATTATCACAAAATATTCTGTTTTTCTGTGTAAAATATTTCAAAGATTTATTATCTGAGACCACCTTGAAATATTTCCATATCGGGTTAAAGAGAACCCGGAGTAATTCTTCCTGCTCCAGTAACAGGGTTAGGTAGGGGCCAGGGGGCTCCAGGTAAGGTAGGAGGTACTCAGCCCAAAACAAGGCAGAACAAGGTCAGTTCGCCCTGCTTTTAAACTATGAAACAAAACATCTTGTGTTATTTTGCCTAATTTTCGGAAAATATTTGTAAAATATAGTGATATGCAATTTAAAGCTCTAAAGAGGAGGTTTGAATAGGTTTCTTACATTAAACCGAACAAAACAATTCTTTAGGTTAAAACAAAGGTTTAATTTGATGCCAGTTTTTAGAATCTATAGTTGGGATCATTTCATGAAACATGTTTTCATGAGAGTTCAAGTCAAATCGGAAACTTTCTGAAAAAAATATTAATTCTCTCAAGAAATAAAACCTTAAAATTTAACCAGATTCATATTTTAACAAGGTCTTAGTTAATCCTAAGTGCATGTTTTGTAAGAGATATTTTAGTCTGAAGGAAAGTGGAAACCTTTAAAATTTGACGAACATGAGATATTAGACGAAAGAGGATAATTACAAGCTTTCAGGCAAATAAAAACCTTATCCTTGCCAACCTTAAAATGGATGAAAATATTTGTAAATCTAGGCCAAAATTCCTGAGCAAAGCGGGAAAGAAGTTCCGGCAAAAAGCTAGAGATGACCCGAGATTAGTTCTCCGAGTATAATTACCAAAAGTGTGTTAAAAGGCTAGAATGGTGATCTTTAGTATTAAACCTTCTCCTCTACTCAGTACTCATTTTTAATATTAGATCTTCTACTCTACTTATCTTTAATATTAGACCTTCTTCTCTACTGTAAAGGGAAGGCAGTAAATTTTATTGTTGGCAACTTTGGCATATTCAAATTGTGGGGTAGAAAGGAGTTCTGAAGATATGAAATAAATATTTTTTATTTTAAAATTGATCTACCTTGAGCGTCTTGAGTTTCCAAAATTTCTATTTTTATCTAGAAATTTTATTTTTCTCCTCTCTCCCTATCCACATTTACCCGTGCTTGAGTTAAAATTAGTCATTAGTTTTTGCTTGCATCGAACTTTATTTCTATTATGGGATACTCCATGTGGATACACGGATACACGATTCTAAGATATGATACATGGATAAACGGATATACATGGATTAACAAGTCACAGATACAAGGGCACATGGATATATGATTGTCAGATAAACGGATGGATGATGCTCATAAACATGGATCTATTGGATACATAAATGATGATTCACAATTCTAAGATAAAGAGATATATGAATCTCAGAAACATGGATATATGAATCTTAGAAACATGGATATATGAATCTCAGCTACATGGATATATAAACAAATGATTTTCATGTATCTATACATGTAAAATGGATAAACTGTGATATAAAAATTTGGTTGTTTTCATTTACATATGAGTTAAAAAATACGTAAATTTTCTAAGGGAAAGCACAGAATAAATGGAGTATGGTTTAAGGGACTTTTTAATTTCAAATGACCCTCCATGAAAATACGGCAATGCCAAATTTATAACGGCACCCTGTCCCTGGAAACCTTAATCAGATAAAAAATGTGGAAGACATGTGGATCCAATGGTTGGTCACAAAAAATAATGAGGCGATACTTTAATTTTGTTTCAAAGTTGATAAATCAAATGATCTCTGTTCTTTTCCATGAATACGGGCAGACGAATCTTTTCTGAGACAGATAATTCAGTTACATATTTTTTTTAAAAAATGAATCAATTATTGAGATTGAAATTAATGGCGAGGGAACACCCTACAGTGCAGGCAACATGTATAGGAGCGGGGGTTTGTATGACTTTAGGGGCGGGCTAAGTGCTGCCTAAG